TACAGATGCATGGGTGTGAAGACAGCTACTCTGGAGTCTTATAAAGAGGAGAATAGCAACCATGGACTGATGAGCAACTTAGGCAAAAATACCAGTTGTAAAGAGCACATTTATTTTGTGGTTTTTCTATAAAAAAATGTGTTGTTTTATTTTCTTCAGGAATCAGGCGAAGGTGGGATTATTACCTTGACAGTTTCCAAATCCATTACACGAATACGTAGAGACAAACAACTATTCACACTCACATTCACACCTTTGGCCAAACTAAAGTGAACAAATACTTACCTCCTGGATGCCTTGAATAATGCTGCTCCCCGTTCATGTTTCCTCCGCTGCGCCTGTTGCCCCTGCCTCCACCAGCTGGTATGGGCTTGCCCCTCAGTGTGTAGTAGAAAGCTGCTGACCTCCTCTTAGCTTTGCGGAGGACGTGGCAGACCAATTGGAAGATCTCTTCATAGCAGTCCCCTGGCTCGGCCATGCTGGCCAGGGTGGAGGAGGACAGGCATTGTGCCCTCTGCTCCTGCATCAGCTGGTGCTCCCGCTGTTTGGTCTCTGAGAACTGGGTGGCGATAACAACCAGGCACAAGTTGATCATGAAGAACGAACCAATCTGTGAGGATGTGGAACAGAACAGTAGGACATACGCAGTTTAGAACGGGAAGACTGGATGAAAAAGTAGAAATGTTTACCTACATCTTACTTCAATAATCAAGGTACAAACATTAAATTAAGGTTACGGAAACCCCATGAGGAATTGACATGTTTAATCCTAAATTATTTTTCATTAAACCTACATTTATTGAACTTTGTTCCAAACCTCCTTGTAGAAATGTTCGCACTAGTACTACAGGGATTGAGGAATGGATTGGCTTCCTACCAAATCAGGCCTGATTTGAGCAGACAAAGCCCACACAAACCCAAGGCAAAGTTCAGCATGTTAATATATTTCTCTCTTTCTTCCTTTTTACTGTATGAGTCAGACTTGGCTTCACTTTTTTCTCTTTAAATAAATATTAAGTTGTTATTTAAAGTCAGTGTCTTGACTGTAATAACATGATTCTTTTTAAAAAAATACTTCTATTTACTAATACTTTTGAAATTATGGTTTTCCTATTAAAAGCACCCTCTCTCCCCCCTCCTCTCCCCCCTCTTCTCCTCCTCCATTCTTATTCTGGACTCTTACTTCTTAAATTCTTCCTTATAGAGACTGTGTTTTTCTACATATGTAAATGTTACACTGTGGTATAAAAGGCCAAACTGGTTCAGAATGAAAAGATGAAATAGTGCTGGTTGTCGTTTTTACTGCCAATACAGTGTATCACAGTTGGAACTGCAGAAACGGCTGCCACTGCAATCTGGTTACAGACCAATGATTAGATCAATAACTGCTAATGTAGAGTGTTAAAGAAACAATCACCTGGACAGAAAAAGCAGGAGAGATAAAATATTCTGTGTATGGGAGCGAGAGATAGAGTGTGTGCATGTGTGTGAATGGGGGGGGGGACTGATGACCATCTGTGCCCTGTGGGTCAAAGCAGTCCTGCAGGTGTGGAGAGCTTTGATTTACCTCCAGGTTTGCATCTGTGTGTGTGTGAATGTGAGACTATTCTGTGCTTCTGATCAGAAAACAGCTTTGTGCATAATGAGGGAGGGCAGCTCGATATCACACATTCAGGTGCAATACTGCATTATGCATGTGTACTCACACAGACACACACGCACACACAGGACAGAAGAGAGGATTAGAAATGATAAGTGTAAAGACCGAGGCCGACAAAAGAATGATAGAGTCAAGGTGACCGGTGTCTCTGCGCAGCACTTTAATGCCCTCTGGAAATCATTCAACATTTTCAGGACTTCCAGCAAGATTCCAGCTCAAAACACACAGACACTGAAATTCAAGCATGTGCTGCAGGCAAGTGCAGGTGCCAAATGGTGAGCACCTCGCCCAGGTTCTTACATATAAAGAAAAATGTCCAAAGATTTAGTCTGAGACTTTTTCCTGAGGTTGTCATTCAGTATGGACCTCTGGAGGATCCATGTGAGAGAGCAGCTCCTGGCGCAGGGAGCAGGACAGATTCCCATTCATCACTCGGGATTCTTACTAGTTTTTTTCTCACAAAAGCTCAGACTGTCATTAATTTGAGACCATGGGGAGCTCTCCTGCAGTCTCACAAAAGCTCAGCCTGTCATTAATTTGAGACCATGGGGAGCGAACACAACAATGTTCGTCATTTTGGGGTAAATAGTGCAAGACATCTGCCTCCGCCACAGCCACAGCCTCAAGACTCTTTTCACCTACTGTAGGTCATGTCTCATGTATACATACATTCACACCCTCTCCTCTTCTCTATTTTCCTCTCCTCTCCTTTCTCCTCATCCTTTAATTATTTTCATTGCCATCACAGTCTCCTACATCTTTGGTTTTTCAGTTTTACTGCCTGTGTGTTTTGTTCCTTATGTTAATGGTGCACAAATGCCAAACTTTTAATATTTACTTTCCTAAACACACTAAATTCTTACAACAAACTGTTACACAGACAGTTTATGACAAATAAACAAAACTAAATAACAATCAACTATCGTTATAGTCAGCACTGGTAGGATAAGTGTTTTTTGCACACACACAATTCCTAATCCCCTTCCCTTCCACCATTCTCTCTCACCACAATTTAAATATCATCTCCCTCCTTCCTTATTTCCTAAAGACATTGGTTGTAAAAAGTCCTTTATGCTTTTATGGATTATCACAGGTCTATTAACCCTCAGGAAATGTCCTCATTTAATTCACTGATAGGAGCCGGCCTCAGATGTCAGCATATATTGGAAATGATATTAGGACTGTTTTCCATCTCTGGGATGGAATGATTACAGTTACATTTCATTCTTTATTTATTGTTTAATCATCAGAACACATTGAATAATTTATGAGTCAGCTGGAAGCAATGGAAGCTGATAAATAAAAAATGGATGTCATAGTAAATGTTACTTACAATGATGAGCAGGATGAAGTAAATGAAGTTGTAAAAGGAGTGGGCGTCCATTACATAATACATGATCTCCACCCAGCCCTCCAGAGTGATCACCTAGGAGCCAACATAAAAAACATATCCATGTTAATGACAGGAAACTGGGCAAAGGCAGAAAAATGAGGAAGAACCACAAACGTTACCTGGAAAATGACAATCCAGGCGTAGACAATATTGTCAAAGTTTATGGCGCCTTTGTGGGGGTTACTACTTCCTGTGTGGCAGCGGGTGTAGTACTGGTGCCAGTTGATACAAAGACCAGCACCACTGCCATTGGCCAGTGGCTCGAGGGTCAAGCCTAGAGCCTGGCGGTGAAGAGCATCTTCTTTGTCCAGGCAGCAGGTGCGTCCTCCTTCACGCCTCGTAGGCACGTCGGAGCATGACATGATGCCATTATCAGACGGTAGAGAGCAAATGAAGGGCCGTTCATCATCCTCCTCCGGCTGATAGTAGGGAGCAGGAAGGGCCATACCTGAAGATCTACAGCAAAATAAAATAAATATAAAATATTTATAATAAATAAAATAATTATAAAGTGTTAGCATAGGCAACTGAAGAGAACAGAAAGTGAGCAAACTTCACGGTACAATCTAATTAAACACTAGACACTGGATCAGCACATGTTAGTAATAACCACCAATAACTGAATCAGTACATCCACACATTTCCTTGTGAAAAACAAATAAATATCGTTTCTACAAATTGTAATGAAATATCAAACATTCACTGTAAGGCCATGTTTGCAAAGACAACAACTGCCTTGGAAAGAGAGACAGTTCTGCACAGTTGCTCTGAATCTCCTGCCAACTTCCTGCTCTTAATGTGATTGAGAATGAAAGGTGAAGATAAACATCCATCATTTTCTGGGTTGCAAAATTATGTTGAGGAGAGCAGTTTCTAAATTGGTGCCACGGGGTCACCGTTTGAGGAGAGCCCTGAAATGAAATCCATGGATCTTCTCCTCAGCCTTGTGTTGTTATTCTGTGAAAAATACAGCTTTCACTGTGGATAAACACGAGGGTCTTCATGAAATGTCCTTGTGTTGAAACACCGGTCGATACGTCGTGCAAACAAGATTTAATTGTGGCTGTCAAAATTACATCACTTTATATTTTTATTACTTAAATTATATTATTTATAGATATTTATCACATTTTCAATAATTCTGATTAATCTAAAGCAAATGACATTGTCAAAACTAAACTAATCTAAAGAGTTAATACATGCGACACAGTAAAAAGTAGAAAGAAATGCAAGTTTAAAAGTGGGTCACATTCTTATTTTTCAAGTTTAGCAACTGAGGAAAGTTGTAATTGTTGCAGTTTTTCCGCCTGTTCTTGCTGAATGAAAGACTGGAAATTGTTCAACAACTTGTGCTCCCTATTGTCTGATTTTGCACTTCAGATTTCACAAGGCACTCTAAGTAGGACACAGATCTGGAGTGAGCACTGTTGCATTGAATTTGAATTCTTTTGTCTTCAAGAAGTTCAGCACAAAGTGGTTAACTTCTTTTGCCGGCAACGACAAAGCGTTCGGCGGATGATTCTTTCATACCAATGTCCGGATCCATTCATTTACTTCTATTGTCCCTCGCATTAATTTTTATTTTAAGATGTGTTCCTCTTCCATAAAATCCTCCTCCTGCCTCTTATATTGGCTCCTACTCCTCGTGCTCTTCTCATTTCCACTCCTGGCTCCCTTTCGTTTCCTGTCTAATTCTTTTGATCTTACCCTATCTCCTCCGGTCAATAACATAATAGATAGTGCTGACATGCAGAGCAGTAGAATTTCTCGTTT